AGTCTGATAACAGCCGGAAAGAAGCTGTTCCTGAACCACCTCGTGCGTGTGTTCAGGTTTCTGTATCTTCTGCCTAACGGAAGAGGTTGTAGGAGATCATTACCAGGGTGCGATGGGTTTTGATGATGTTGGTTGCCTCTCCGCAGCAGTGAGCTGTGTAAATAGAGTCTGTGGTTGGAAGGTTGGCTTCCGTGATGGTCTGAGCTGTGCACGCAACCTTCTGTAGTTCCTTACGGTCTTGGGCAGAGCAGTTGTCATACCAGGCCATTATGCACCTGGGCAGTCTGCTTTCAATGGTCCATCTATAGAAGTTGGTGAGGGATGTTATCGACATGCCAAATTACGTGAGCCACCCGAGGAAGAAAAGGTGTTATTGTGTCTACTTGACTATCACATCTGTGTGGGAAGTCCAGGACAGGTCGTCGGTTATCGTCACTCTGAGGAACTTGATGCTCTTCACCCTCTCAACCTCAGTTCTGTTGATGTCGATGAGGATGTGTTTTCCTCCTTTCTTTCTGACGTCTGATCAGTTCTTTAGTTTTGCTGACGTTGAGAGAGACGTTGTCAATCAACCACATCAACAAGCCCTCTGTCTCCCTTCTGTATTTTGACTATGTTATGGTGGTGTTGTCAGCAAATTTGTAGGTGGTACTAGTTTAGCTTGGCTTTATGGTTGGCATGGACAGGTTGGACTGAAGGGTCATGCAGCAGGGAAACGGACTCTATTGGTGCCAAGCCCACAGCCCTCTGAGATACATGTGCTCCTACAACCTCTGACCCTCCACCCCATAAATCCCAACTTGCCTGGTGGCCGTGCTGTGATCCTGAGCTCCTGAGCCGTGGAATTTTCTTTCTGAAAAACTCACCGCTTTGATTTCTTTCTGTATTTTTAAGGTGCTCCCTAAAAACTGGCTCTGATCACATTTCTGATGGCATCTCATTATATCTCTGTACTTGGTGTCTTTAAGTCTGTTTGGTAATGGGCACTGTGCAGCACATCGGGACGTTTTCTACATTGTGGGTGCTATATAAATGCAAGTTGTTGCCAGAAATGCTACTCTGAGGGAAGTTTCGCCCTGGGATATGCAATAATGATGGTTGACGTAGTGTGGAAATTGAGACAGGTTGACAGTTTAAATCAGGCTTTTCAAAACACTTTCTCCTTTTTAATTCTTTCATGGGATATGACTATATTATTGGGTAAGGCCAGCATTTCTTACCCTTCCCTAGTTGCCGTTCAACTCAGTGCCTTGTTAGGGCTGGGTCAGAGCGTAGAATCCACCACGTTGTTGTGGGCCTGGAGTCACGTGTAGGCCAGACTGGGTAAGGGCAGCAGATTCCCTCCCAGTAACAGTGAACCAGATGGGTTTTTATAGCAGTCATCAGCCACGAGAGCAGAAATAGGCCATTCAGCCCATCAGTTCTACTTCGCCAATGAGACTGTGTGGCTGATCTGAGAAGCTTCAGCTCCACTTTCCTGCCTTTTCCCCAATAACCCACGATTCCTTTCCTGATTAAGAATCTGTCCATTTCGGCCTTGGATATAATTAATGACCCAGCCTTGACAGTCGTCTGTGGTAAAGAATTCCACAGATTCGCTCCCCTCTGAGAAAAGAAATTCCTCCTCATCTCTGCCTTAAATGTGTCGTTTCTTATTGTGAGATGATGCCCCCTGGCCCTAAACTCTCTCACAAGGGGAAACACCCTCTCCCCATCTGTTTTTAAAATTCGTTCATGGGACGAGGGCGTCACTGGCCAGGCAGCATTTATTGCCCATCCCTAATTACCCAGAGGGCAGTTCAGAGTCAACCCCATTGTCGTGGGTCTGGAGTCACATGTAGGCCAGACCAGGTAAGGATGGCAGTTGCCTTCCCTGAAGGACATTAGTGAACCAGATCTCTCCAATCACCAGCAGCTAGGAGTGAGGGGCAACCAGGGGCAGTGGGCAATGGAGAGAGGGTTTGGGATGGGAGTAGAGACTCCACCTCTGTCACTGTTGGGAATGGGGTCTTGTTAGGAGGCAGTGGGGTAGGGGTAATGTCACAGAACTAGGAACCTAGAGCCCAAGGCTTATGTTCTGGGGAAATGGGTTTGAATTGACCACTGCTGGAAAATACCCATCTGGTTCACTAATGACCGTGTGTGTGTGTGTGTGTGTGTGTGTGTGTGTGTGTGTGTGAGAGAGTTAATTGGAAAAACTCTGTAAATACACACACTGCAAACTGTGTGGACCTGTACAGAATGCGTCACTTTGTCATGTTTAAGCACAGAATATTTTATTGACCAACAGAGACTGGGTCTCTCGGGCTGTATAACTGACGCAGTCTGTGTCTCGCTCACCAAATGATGAGTGGTCTGAAATATCTGCTCGGTTTGTATATCTGAGTGTATAAGCCCCTTTAGTCTGACTGGTGCCAGCTGTCCCTCCCTCCCCCCTTTGTGTATTGACCCAGCCTCTGGCCTTGTGTTTCCCGTTTGATGTCTCCAGCTGTGAATGTGACCTGTGGCAGTGGATTCCCCCTCCTGATTGTGGCCAGCTACACCCATTGAAATCAATTCACTTTGACACAGCCGCACAGTCATACAGTAGGGAGGAGGTGATGGCCTAGTGGAATTATCACTGGACTGTTAATCCAGAGACTCGGGTAATGTTCTGGGGGCCTGCGTTAGGGTTAGGGTTAGGGTTCTGGGAACCTGGGTTCGAATCCACCACAGATGGTGGAATTTGAATTCAATAAAAATCTGGAATTAAAAATCAAATGATGACCAGGAGCCCATTGTCAATTGTCAGGAAAACCCATCTGGTTCACTAATGTCCTTTTAGGGAAGGAAACTGCCATCCTTACCTGGTGTGGCCTACGTGTGACTCCAGACCCACAGCAATAAGTGCTGGCCTAGCCAGTGACACCCTCATCCCGTGAATGAATAAAGGAAAAAAACAGACCCTTTGGCCCAGCCCGTCTGTGCTGACCAGATATCCTAAATTAATCTAGTCCCATTTGCCAGCATTTGGCCCATATCCCTCTAAACCTCCTTTTCATTAGCACATCATTAGCACTTTTAAATGTTATAATTTTACCAGCCTCCACCCCTTCCTCTGGCAGCGTCCTCTGCGTAAAAAAGTTACCCCTTTAGGTTCCTTTTAAATCTTTCCCCTCTTACCTTAAACTTATGCTGTCTAGTTTTGGACTCTCCTACAACACCTTCTCTATTGACTCTATCCATGCCCCTCATGATTTGATAGCCCTCAGCCCTCCTACGCTCCAGGCAAAGTAAGCCCATTCTTAAACCACACCCGCACCCCCATGCCAGCAACATCTTGTAAATCTTTTCTGCACCCTCTCAAATTTAACAACATGCTTCCTTCCTGTCTCTTTCTCAGGGAGTGGTGTCTCTACATATTAGCCTATGTCACTGTCTTTAGCCCATGCTCCCTGTCTATCTCTGGCCTCTCCTGACCTCCAGCACTGCACTGGGTGTGATTTTTTTGTTGTTGATTTTCTGGAGAGGGGCTTGAACTCATAACCCGAGGCGAGTGTGTTACCTGTTGAACCACAATTAACGATCTTAAAGGGAGCTCGGAAAAGGCCAAGTAAAACATCAGGAGGAGCTGGTGGTGGTCTGCCACTGAGCTGGAAGGTCTGAGTTTAAACCCTGCCAGTTCTGCCAATTGTGTTACAACATGTGCTAACAGGTTGATAGAAAATAGTTTGGTTTGGAAACCAGGTTGTGCCACTCTGTGCTGGAGAGGGTTGGATTGAAAACTGGATCCCCATGGTTTATGCAAGAACGACGGTCCATTAGAAACCTGACAGGTGCAGGCAGGCTGTAAGTGAGGAAAGGGAGAGAGATTCCTGGTAAAACTCCAATAGTGCCTTGCCTGGAGGAGCTAAAACCAACTGTGTGGCTCAGAAATTGCATCCTCGTTTCTGAATGGCGCAATGAAGCCTGTTTCTCGGACTCCTCCCTTCACCCTAATTCCAGTTGTTTAATTGGAAGATAAACATCCTGTTGGGAATTGTGGAGTCTGAATTGAAATAATTCTCTAAGTCAACGACAAAGCATAGCAGGTTCCTTCTTTAATTAAAGGAGAAACGTGACCATTGGAAATCTCGGGAGGTGGGCGTCCTGGCAAAGCTGCCTTCCAGTTACCCACCACCACCACCACCCCTCCCCCCCCACCCCCAAACCAACCCTTGCCCCTGACATGAGGGGTATACTCAACCATTTCAGAGGGCGTTGAAAGGCCACTCTCATTGCTGTGGGGCTGGAGTCACACGTACGCCAGAGTGGGCAAGGATGTCAGATTGTGTGTTTTGGGGGCGTGTGGGGGGGGAGCGGGCAGGTGGGTGTTGGGGTCAGGGGTGGAGAGTTGAGGTGGGGATGGGGAGGGGCTTGAGGGATGGGCATGGGACTGGTGGTGTTAGGGTGCACAGCTGCTCCATTCACGCCCGTGATGCCCCTGACCGCGTGCTGTGCGGTCTGTGCCCCTGACACCGTGCTGTCTCTGTCTCTGTCTCTGTGCCCCTGACCCCGTCCCATGCTGTCTCTGTGCCCCTGACCCCGTCCCATTGCTGTCTCTGACCCCATGCCCACGGTGCCCCGACCTCGTGCTGTCTCTGTCTCTGTGCCCCTGACCCCGTCCCATGCTGTCTCTG